TCTATGTGTATATTCTCCCCATTCTTCCCTAATTTCCTTTTTAAATAATTTTTATTCCTCCTTAGATCTTTGAGTCAATTGATAATCAAGTTCATTGACAGACCAATTACATCACTTCCCTTTTGCAAAGATGACAAATAGCCAGGTCACTTCAGGCTCTCCCCTGGGCCTTTCCTGAACATGCAGGCCTAGACTAATGGCAACTCGTGCCCACAGTTCATTTGTTCAGCAGGTATAACCTTGCCACCTTTTCATTCTTAAAGCCATTATTCCAAATTAAACTCTGTATTTTTACTGAAATTGTCATAAGTATAGACATAGATTGACATTTTTTTCTGTACAAGAGAGTAAATATGTTAGACTTTTGCCAGACATTTGGTCTCTGTTCCAAGTACTCAACCCAGATATTGTAGAGTGAAAGCAGCCACAGACAATACCTGAATGAATGAGAATGGCTGTATTCCAATAAAACTTTATGGGGATGACAGTGGTGGTTCAAACTTGAAATCCCAGCATTTTGGGAGGCGGGGGTGGGAGGATCACTTACTTGAGCCCTGGAGCTCAAGATCAGCCTGGGCAACAGAGTAAGATCCTGTATCTACTAAAATACATATTTCATATATATATATACACATATATATATACACACACACACATATATATACACAAACTTGATGGGCCCTGAAATTTGAATTTCACATTATTTTCACATATCACCATTAAACCATCAAAAAATGTAAAACTCATTCTTCTGCTCGAGCGCCATGCAAAAAAACAGGGCAGGCAGGGCTTGGTCTATGAGCCACAGTTTGCTGATTCTGATCGAGACTACCAAAACTGTGTCAACAAACAACTTGGCATTCCCTCACAGGCCTGAGGCAGTAAATATCTGTGCATAGATCCCATTTATCTCTTTCCTTCTATTCTGGGGAAAATTCCAGAGAACTACGGTTTGTCTTTGAAATACCTAGGCATTTAATTAACACATCAAACTGCAGAGTTGTTCCAAGGGTGATGTGAGCGCTTCTACACTAATTAAGATTCTGTTTCTCAGAAAGAGGTAACAATCTGTAGATAAAGGTGTGTGTGTTTGGGGAAGAGGGGCTGTTGGTGAAGGAGAAACTCAAGGGGCAGAGGGCACCTACTGCAGTTTTTGTGACTAAAACAGCTACACAAAGCCAAAGCACCTAAGTCCTCCATAAACAAACACAAGCACATACAAAAGCCAGGCATGGTAGCTCATGCCTATAATCCCAGGACTTTGGGAGGGTGAGGCAGGAGAATCCCTTTAGGCCAGGAGTTGGAGATCAACCTAGGCAACATAGCAAGACCCTATCTCTACAAAAAAATTAAAAAATTAGCCAGGCATGGTAGTGTGTGCCTATAGTCCCAGCTACTCAGGAGGCTGAGGCAGGAGGATCACTTGAGCCGAGGAGTTGGAGGCTATAGTGAGCTATGATCATACCACTGTACTCCAGTCTAGACAGAGATCCTGTCTGAAAACAAAACAAAACAGAGGATGAACTTGAGATTACACCTCCTCAAAAGCCCATGCCTAGGGGATGTTTCTTCACCAATATATTTCTCAGCAAAGAGAAAGAACACCACAATAGCAGCAGCGTTAAACACCTTTAGTGGGAGAAAACAGACAGATAGCAAATACAGACCAGCCCAAGCTTTACAGCTAACAGTCTGGTTATTTACAGGAAATCTCTTTAGCTAGAGTTTTATTTTACCAGTAAGTCTAAAACTTGCTTCTATATGTGGCTTCAAAAAAAAATCTACAACCTTATGCACCACTTAACTTCCAGTATACAACTCTTAGGAAGAGTCATTATACAGTTTACATACTGCAAGTTCCTAAAGCAGTTCCAGTATAAGAAAAGTCATTTCAAAATAGTCTTAGATGTTTCCCTGAGTTCAAAGAATTATACGGAAGTCAGCACAGGAGCCATGGGTATGGTATATGTAGCCCACACGTTTGAGGGCCATTATATACCAGGAAGCCAGAATCTTTTACATATTTCAACTCCAACTCCTAACTCCTCATAAATCATTCCTCCAGAATGATTTAGTCTTATATAATTTATAACTGCTGTCCAACCATGTCTTGGAACCACAAAAATATAAAAGACTATCTTTACCAGGAACAAAACAACCAATAATTTTGGGAGAAAGGAACTTATCCAGTCCCAGAAATTAAACTTCAATATGAAATGACTCTGCAGGGCTTTCTGCCCACTGAAATCCCCTCCAGTCAGACCTGTTCTGTGGCTGTCTTTGCACATTTTCTGTGTATGTGTGACAAGGCCATCAGCAGTACTCTGGACTAGCTCCGGATGTTGTACACAAGGACCCTGGAAGTCAGGGTACTACCAGGTTGATGAGCAATCATCCTATTGTTAAAAGACTCTAAACTGAAAGCCTTCATAATATGCAGGGTTGTTTCCTGGACTGGACACTCCTCCACCCCTACAATTACAGTCTGCATTCATGAACTACCCCACAGAGCTTTCCTGATCCATAAACATTTAAAAGTTTTCCTTTAGAGAGAATGAAAAAGAATGTGAGAGTCACTGGCACAGGAAGAACCAAACAATTGGGTCTCTGTGGTTTTGGGGGCCTAGGTCATCCAGGCCTCTATTCAACCAGCAAAGAATCTGGCGGGATGAATCAGTCTAGCAGCTGACGAAATGACGAGGAAGGACTGCCCAAGCTGACGGCAATTCAAAAAGGCTTTCAAACAGTTCCTTAACGTGTCTTATGAGCTTTATTTAAATTTGATGGAAAGGCCACCAAATAGTTCTTTCAAGCTTCAAAATCTCCCTTCTGATCTGCCAATCTTTACAGAAGAAAAGGGAAGCTATGAGGAACAAGTGTTATCTTCATCACTGAGAGTGCTACACAGCTATGTGTCACACACAAATTCTCCAGTATATAAATTTGCCTATTCCCATGTTGTCCCTGCCTAGAACAATGGCAAAATGCAGCCCAGGGCAAGTTGAGGGTATTGCTGAATTCTCAGCAGGGTAAGCACAGCATGGAGCAATCAATTTAAAGCAAAACCAAACCAGTTTTTTGCTGATGTCATTTTACCAATAATTCCAGCTCCATCATGCAGTCTATTACCAGAGTAACTTGACTTCCCTAGACAACCTATGAAGAAGTTGCTAAGCAATAAAAATACTTATTGGGGAGAGGAGAAAGTCACAATCAGTGCAAAATTTAGGTAGCTAGATAACTGAAAGCTGGCTCTGCCACTTCAGGGTGACAGCGTCAGATCCTGGAACAGAGAAATAACATAAAAAGGACTTCCATCCTAGAGTCCCTTCTCCACACAGCAGCCCAGGGAGCCTTTCACAAAAGAAGTCAAAGCACAATCCCTCTGCTCAAAGCCCTCCGTTGTGGGCTGAATTACGTCTATCAAAATGATATGTTAAAGTCCCAACTCCTAGTACCTATGAAAGTGACCTTATCTAGAAATAGTATCTTTGAAGATGTTACCAAGATAACATGAGGTCAAACTGGATTAGGGTGGGCCCTAACTTTAACGACTGGTGTCCTCACAGGAAGGGCACGGGAAGACAGATACATAGGGAGAAGACAGCCATGTGTTGAGGCAGAGACCGGAGTTCTGCTGTCACAAGCCAAAGAACACAAAGGATTGCAGACACCCAGCAGAGGCTAGAAGAGGCAAGGACAGACTCTTCCGGGAGCCTTCAGAGGAGTAAGGCCCTGCCAACACCTTAACTTTAGACTTCTGGTTCTGATTTCAATTATCCAGGACTGTGAGAGAATAAATTTCTGTTATTGTAAGCCACTCAGTTACTCTGTTATGGCAGTCCTTGGAAATTCATATACCCTCCAGTGGCTTTCCACCTTACTCAGAAAGAACGCCAAATCCTCAATGCAGCAGCATCTGTACCTCCTCTGACCACGCTGACTTCAGCTCCTCCTGCTCTCTGAGTAGTCAGTCCACACTGACCTCCTGGCTGGTCCTCAAACTGTACCATGAACCCTCCACCTTAGGGCCTCACCTGCAGCAGGCTGGAGCTGTCAGACCTTTGCAGACGCCACTCCTTCTGCTGGAAGGGTTCCTACCTCAGGAACCTCCAAGGCCTGCTCCCTCAATCTGCCTTCAGGTCTCTGTTCAAGTAACCTAATCATGAATGCTCCCCCTAACTCCCCTTCACCTTTCCCTATCCCCATCCCATATTCCCTATTCTCTCTTCCCCTGCTTTATTTTTCTCCACAGTGCTTCACACAAGCTGACATAGATAGTTCGCTTAACCCTTAACAGGTTTTGCCTCCATAATGTTAGCTCAAGAGAGTAGAACTTCACTGCTGAATCACAGTGCACTCTATTTAGTGAATAAGCATATGAATTACGTGGGGACAGGTGAAATTTTATTCCAAACTGGCTGTGTGACAAAAAAGGTTTCTACTAATTAAGTGAGACAGTGGAAGCTCCTGTAGATGGGCTCTGAGGGGCTGGGAGGGAACCCATGTGCCAGGTTTTCCCAAGTAGACTGAAGGGCTCTCACCACATCCCTGCATGGAAGTGGGTGAGGTGAGTGATTCTGAAACAGCCTCTTAAGAACCCTCCCTATCAAAAATTAAGACAAGTCTTACCTGTAATTTTTGTCTCCAGCCACACCCCAGTAGAAAGCCACTTAGCCTGAGAAATTTGTGAAGTCAAATATAAACATGATCTTCCTACTTCATCACTATACACATTTTTTTTAGGGGCTGAGGAGAAAGGCCTAGTAGGAATGTTAGATAATGATAATCTCATACTGCAAATGCACAAACTCTACTCGGAGGAGAAAGCCTCGATCACCACACGCCTAAAAATATATATGCCAGGAGGTTTCAAATAGCTATTTCTTGGTCAAACCCTCTTAAATGGTCCTAAATTTACACTTTTTTTCCTTCCTTCATTGATATTTTTCAAAACTTTCAAAACAAAACAGGCAGGAAAAATGCAAGTTTTTCTTTACCTTGGCTTTTGGCCCCAGGTCCTGCCAATCCCAGTGATGGATCACAGGACTCCTTGAAAGGTGATTGGATCGGGGTTTCAGCTTCAGGGGTCTCAAAATTACCTTCAGAATCCGAGCTGCCAAGGAGGAAAAATGAGGAATTACCACTTTCAACGGTATTTCCGACACCCTTTGAAATCTACATATTCACAAAGGCTAAAAGTCCAGCACGTTTGTCTAACTTCACAACCAACCGGTCCTCAGCAGGGTCTGACCTGCGGAGGCAACTGCGTTCTCTGAGCAGTGCCCTCCTTGGGTTTCTCAGGCTGGCATCCTGTCTCTTTGAAAGCTCCTCCATTCCCTGGAGCTTTTCTCCAGCACCATTTATTTTTGAGGTCATCCTTCCCTCAGACACCTGAAAAATGCGCATTTCCAACAGACTCCTTTTGTCACAAGAGCCCTTTCCCAGAGGCTTTAACAATTAATACTGGTCCCACCCCCGAGTTAGGCCGATGCTAGGCATTCCTCTTTGCTCGGTAGGCCTCTACCTGCTGGAACTCCCTGGGCCCGAGGCTAAGAATGCTGTCACCTGCCTTCCGCAATCACGCGGATGACAGCCCGGCAGAGACCACCATTCCCAGCAGCTGCCAGGGGCCTGTCATCACGCGACCTTCTTCACCGCGGCCGCGTTTTGGGTACACGGTAGGGCCCCGGGAAGGGCCGGGGAGCGAATTCTTCCCCACGAGGGGGGGGGGCCCTAAGTAGCACTGGGTGAGATCAGTGACGCTGCTCCTGTGTGGAGGGGCAGGGGCTGGGGGTCGAAGCTTAGAGAAAGTGACCGAGGCCAGCGGGGATGCGGAGACTGCAGATTCTGGGTTGGGTTCGGAAAGCTCCTAGCGAAACGGGGGCCAGAAAACACACGGGAGGACAGAAGATCCCGAACTTTTGGACGCACACGGGGACCTGGCTCCGGGCGGGGACACGGCACCGCAGTGAGGACGGTTTCGCGGGTGGCGACCATACACACGCACACAGAGGGAGCCGCAGATGGATGGAGGCAAGCGCGTCTGCATTTCGGCGGGGACGCCCTGTACTTGCCTGAAACTCAAGGATTTGGTCTCGGCTTGCGAGTCTTCCTCCTCGGGGTCGCCCTCGGGCCCGCCGGCCTCGTCCTCGCCAGCGGCCCCGCCGCGTACCGCAGACCACGTCCATTTCGCCCACTGCACGGGAGACAGGATCTGCCACGGGCTGAACGCCATGAGCGTGGCTCCTCCGGCTCCAGCTCCTAGGGGCAGGGGAAGGGGTGGGGAGAGCCTTTTTCCCTTTCAAAATGGAGGGAACCGGTGACAGGCGCCAGCAAGCGTTTCCAGCGGAGGCGCGGATGTGGTTAAACGAGTGCCGTCGGGGGCCCTGGTGGAGCGCTTCCTCCCGCCGGCGGCCGGGGCCGCGTCCTCCTCGGCCTACTCCTCACACGGTGCGGCCGCAGCGGGCCCCGCGCCGGGCTCCTCTCGCCGGGAAGACGCCCGTCCTGTGGCCTCCTCAGGCCCCCGGCCCGCAGCGCCCGGCGGCTAGACCTTGTCGGCTCCCGCTCCAGGCTCGCGGACTCCCGCCTCCCGGCCGGCGGGGCGCGCATCAGCTGCCGCCGGAGCCGCGCCCCAGAAGCCGCCCCCTCGGACCGTACTACTCGCGCGCGCGCGCGGGGGCGGCGGCGGCGCCGGGGCTTTGAAGTCGGCCGCGCGCCCGCCGGATCCCCCCGCCGCGGCGTCACGCTGGTCGCGCCCCGACTGAGAGCCGGGGCTTCCCGGCGGCGCCTGGGGAGACCCGATCGCCCCCCAAAGCTCCGCCGGCGTCCGGAGCAGAGGAGGACGGGTTTCTGAGCTGGGGCACGCCGCGCTCTTCCTCTTTCCTTATTCTTTTTAAAAATGTTTTAAACGTTTTCGTCTTGCCACTGTGACTTCACGGCGATGGTGATACTGGACCGCACACAAGTTAAGCCCCTTGTTACCAAAAAAACAAAATACAAAACTTCGCGGCCGCTGTGAACTGTTGTTTTCCCCTCCCTAACCCTGGCAGCGTGGGGGATTTCAGCCTGTTCATCTCCATCCCTGGCATTCCTGGGATTTGAAAATCCCTCGGCAAAGCCACAAGAGTGACCGAGGACTGGAATTTAAGATGCCCTCCCCGTCCCCAAACCGCCCTCGGGGAGGCTTCCTAAGTGCCCAGGTCTTGTCTTAGGTAAGGGTGCTAAATTCCCTGTGAGATTACAGCCTGATGGGTTTCCCATTCTCCATATTTATTTAAAATACAGATGGGTGACTCAATATGTTGCCCAGGCTGGTCTTGAACTCTTGGCCTCAAGCGATCCTCCCGCCTCTGCCTCCCAAAGTGCTAGGATTCCAGGCCTGACACCGCGCCTGACCCCATTCTCCTTTTTGAGATTTTCTTTTCATAACTTCTAAGTCTTTGATTTCTGACTTCTTTCGCTGCTTCAGTAACAAGTCAAGAGGCCTGGTGACAACTTTAGATTTGAAGGCAATGGGAAATAGCTGATGTTCTCCATTTCCCATGGAAGGATTTCATGTAGGGATTGTTCCTCTCAAAACCACCAATGCACCTTCTTCCAAGTGAATCGATTGCCTCAAACACCAGGCTTAATGATCCCCTTGCCTGGATCAGGTGTTTCGGGTGGTACTGTAATTTCTGAGTTGTGGTGCATCCATGAGGTGCCTGCAGGTTCCCACAGAGACAGCAGCTCCAAAATGTGCACGTTGAAACTTGCAAGAGACTAACCGTTGCCTCTGAAAGCAGTTGGCATGTCTATTCATCGTGACTGTTTTACACATTTGATAACAAAAACAGGAGCAAAATACAAGATAAGACTTGGCAGTGTAGTTTTACCAAAACCGAAGGGCAGGAGTTAGACTGAAGTCTAGAGAAAAGAAAGGGATGGGGTGTCAGGATGCTTTCGAATTCATCCTGGCTTCTTCCCAGAAATAAACTGTCATGAGTTGTTCTAGCGACTATAAAGAAGTGAACTAGGCAGGAAGTCCATGTGAAGTATATCACACCACTTATCCAACTGTTGTAGTTTTAGGTTTATGCTCACCCAGTAAAACTTCAGGTTCTACGGTCCCCCAGGCTCTTGGATTTGACACAGGGTTCTGTTGCTAGGAAATAATACTACCCCAGCAAATTAGTCACTGGCATACACTAGGTCCTGTTCTTCCTCCTGAATAGTTCTCTCATCTTTTCATTCCTTTGCATCCCCGTGGTGACTGACATAGTTCTCGCACTCCCCATCTTTCATGATCTACTGTAAATAACTCCCACCTGGTTTTACCTCTGAAGGCTTTCTTGCCTGAGGTCACCCCTGCCTGGCTGATCAGTGACTCGTGCTCTAATCTTGCGGTTCCCATTCGCCTCTATGCCCATCCTTTTGTATTCCTAGCCACAGTCAGTGGAGAACTCGTTGTCGATCTTTAATATGCCCAAGAATCATCTGCCAGCCTTCTTAAAAAAATCCAAATTGCCAACAGGGTCTGGAAATCTGTGTGTTCACTGAGTGTCCTGGGGAACTATTATTACAGGGTACATTTGGGAAACAGTGCCTAACTTGAACCAACTGCTTGCTGCTTCGGGAACAGTCTCCCTTTGCCTGCAGAGGGAGCTTTGCAGATTCCTGGAACACACCTCCTCCCCAACCCCAGCCCACCCCAAGTTCCCAGGCTTCGGCTGCCCGAACGTCCTTCAGCACTTAGCTCAGGTGTCTGCAGGGGGAAACAGGCTGATTGTCCTTCCTTTCTATCATTTCTATACCCCAAACATCCATAAAGAACTCTTCCTGTGGCCTTAGATCTGAAAGTGAAAGAGAGCATGCTTAACAGTTACACGGGGACTACAGGCATAAACCAGGAGTGTCTCCAGAAGACCAGGATGTAAGGCCATTCTACGCTTAGCACACTATATATAACGTATTTATTTACATATTTGTCCCACAAGCTTCTAAAGGAACTTTAGCCTGCTTTGGGACTTCCCCCAGAAATTAGGACAGAATCACACACCCAGGAAGTGTTCAACACATATGTAAGAAAAAACAAACATTCTAGTTTACAAATAGTCCTTGTGAGTTTGGCTAGGGTGACATAAATTCCTAAAGCCTGACTCCTCCTGAGGAAATCTAGTTTCTGGGTCACAAAATAACAGAACTCAGGACCAGTGATGGCCCCAGTAAGATTAAGCCTCAGCTACGCAGCAATTTGCTTTTTTTTTTGAGATGGAGTCTCACACTGCACCCAGGCTGGAGTGCAGTGGCGCAATCTCAGCCGACTGCAACCTCTGCCTCCTGGGTTCAAGCAATTCTCCCTGCCTCACCCCCCAAGTATCTGGGATTACCACCTGCCACCCCGCCCAGCTGATTTTGGTATTTTTCAGTAGAGACGGGGTTTCATCATATTGGCCAGGCTGGTCTTGAACTCCTGACCTCAGGTGATCCTCCCACTTTGGCCTCCCAAAGTGCTGGGATTAGAAATGTGAGCCACCACACCCAGCCTGCAGCAACTTCTTGACACCGGACAAGCAAATAAATGCCTAAGGTTTCTGAAAGTCACTCCTCTGCAAGTTCTTGAACTTAGTGTGAGCAGTGATGAATATGAGTCCATCAGCTGGACCGCTCCTTTCAGTGTGCTGCTCCTAGTCCTGGCTTCGTTCTTACCTGGCACAGGTTGCAAAGTCACAACTAGGAACACTGTCAGTGAAGACGTACCATTGCCAACAGGAGGCTGTGGCTACCCTATCTGCTTTTCTGCCCCTCCTCGGTCTAACCAGGCAAGGGCATGATGATGTCTAATCAAGACAACATTGCCAATAACAGCACCTGACCACATTCAAATATGTTAACATGACAGTCTTAACCTTGCAAGATCAGATGTTGACCTAATTATCCTTTACCTGTAGACTACAATCATTCTATAGAATTATAATCTTCCCTCTCAGCTACCCCAAACACACTGATAATCAGGGATGTGTACAAGCATTTATACAGAAATTATAAAGAGAAGCACCTTCTCCAATTTTTGTTAAAAGAGAGGCTCAGAATGTCGCATTACGTTAATACTTCTTTCGGGCTGGGAGCAGTGGCTCACATCTGGCAATCCCACACTTTGGGGAGGCCAGCAGGAGGAGTCACTTGAAAGTCAGGAGTTCGAGACCAGCTGGCCAACACGGTGAAACCCCATCTCTACTAAAAATATAAAAATAGCCAGGTGTGGTGGTGGGTGCCTCGTAATTCCAGGCTACTCTGGGGGGCTGAGGCAGGAGATCATTTGAACTGGGGAGCAGAGGTTGCAGTGAAGCCGGAGATCATGCCATTGCACTCCAGGTCTGGGGGCAACAGAGTGAGGAGTCCATCTCAAAAAAAAAAAAATACTCTTTCAGAGTTCCAGAGTTCCAGGAAGATTAACAAAGATCCAAACTGCATTCATTAAAGACTTAACTGAGCCCCCCCACCTGGGGTCTGCTCAAAGACCCTTGCCTAGGCTTTGCTCTGGTGAACAACTCTTGTCATATCCACCCATTGATCTATTTTCTTCTGTATCACAAAAGAAAAGTTTGCTTTCCCCAGAAAGTATGCCATTCAACCTAGGTCACAGATCAAGCCTATAGCAGAACTGCCACACAGAAGAGTTACACTGTGTCAGCTTTCAGAGAAGCTGGGGGGCTATATATACACACACACACACACATATATACATATAAATATAATATTTACACTACACTAGTGTAATTGAAGAGCCAGTTCTATGAGATTCTCTCATTTCCATCAAATATTCATGACTATATGTTTATTGACTTTATAAGAAAGTTCACTTTAGTTCTCTACTCTGTGATGTAAACCTATTAAAGAAGCAGTTGTTGAGTGCAAAAGATGTAAACAGAGTTAGGTCAGTCTGTTTATTCTAAGTGAAGAAAAATAATCCCAACATTATCCCTAATTCTTCCCACCAACTACCACAAGTCCAAAGTTGAAAACAAGCAAACCAAAAGCAAACACAAAGCTCCACTTAAAGCAGTGAACTATCTTTAAATTTAGGAATACCTTCTATAGACATGTTTGGTCTTTCCTGCTAAATAATACTATTGTATTTACAGAGCCTGTTAAACACGAATATCGTCTTGGAGGATTACTCTTACTGATTTAGCACATTTTGTTTCCTTCTGTTGAACTCAGATTCCTTTCGAGCAGATTAGGTGTTAAAAAAGAGAGCTGTCCAAGTCCAAGTCAAGTCT